AGAGAGAGAGAGAGAGAGAGAGAGAGAGAGAGAGAGAGAGAGAGAGAGAGAGAGAGATGGAGGAGAGCGGGGGAGAGAGAGAGACGCAGGGGATCGCGGTCCGGTTGGTTATGAGTTGACCTACTCCACTTCGGATCTACCTACGCGCGCACTTTCCGGGGGCCGCTGCCCCTTTTTCGGAAACTGTCTCGCGCGTCACGGGGGTGGCCGCGAATCTCTCGCGGCGAAATTCCCCGCTGCGCCACGCGCCCGAGCCACCCTCGCTCGCCCATTCCGTCCCATTCCGCCGCGCCTCGCTTCGTCTCGCCTGAGTTTCCCCGTCGTTCTCGATTTCGCACACGAAATTTTCTCGATCGCAGTTCTCATAGGTCGCGGCCATCTATCGTCCATTGATATTCACAGGAAGCGATGTTTCATTGCGATACCAATCTATTGATCTAATATTCAGGATTCGAACTGTTACATTCGTTTGGTCGGTGGGTCGAAAAAGTACACAAGTCCTTTGCTATAGCACAGAGACGAACTTAATGTACGCAAGGGTAAATATAGAGCCAAAGTCGTATGTGTCGCATCTCATTGCAAAATCCCATCACGAAAAGACGTGCGTTTAGTTCGACAACTCGCCGTTGCCGAGTCAGATGAATGAGTCTTTGTACACACATACATACGCGCAGACACACAGAAAAACGTCATTCTGCTGCTAAGTGAATGCTGGATGCTGACATAATGCAGTTTATATGGTTTCTCTATATTTAGTTGCGTAGAATTGCAAATGCTTCCACAGAATGTAAGTAGAAATGTCAATGCATGAGAAAACATCAAATATTTCATCAAAATAAAAAGAATTTTTATTTACAAATTTTTCTTTGGTTTTGACATAATATTTGGTGCCTCTTCGTACATTGACTTTTGTACTTTCACTGTGTAAGAGCATTTGCAATTCTGTGCAACCAAGTAGAAAAACAGTGTAAGCTACGAAATTGCATTACTTCGGTATTCAGTATTCCCTTAAGAAAAGCGATTATTCCGTTAAAGCGTTTACTTCTCTTCTTTTAAATAATAGCTACTTTGACAAAGAATATTTTTCCTTGAAAAATTTTAAAATATATTTATTACACATATATTTTAAATAAGCTCATCATTTACCCAAAGAAAAATTTATTCTCTGTACAAGAATGTTATAAAAATTTATCGAAGAAAAAGCTGGTGCGACTCTATGTAGCGAGCAAATCGAATTTTTGTTTTAATTTAATATTCTTGATTGAAATATTAAACTTACCGAGGATTCAGAATGTATTTTAAAATTCGGTGCTTTTAATGAACTTAAAATAGATTTATGAATGTGCGATTTTATGGAAAATGTGAAACACAAGTAACATTTACTTAAATGCAGTGTTTTTCTGTGTGCACTTAAGTTTTTCTTTTGAACTCTCTTTTTATCGATAAAAGTGCCTCTAAATGTACGCCTTATGAAAGGCTTTCAGTCATATTTAAAAGCGCTTTTACCGATAAAAGAGAGCTTGGAATAAAGGATCATAGTTACAAAATGGTTTAGGCATATTGAAATTCGGATCTCACCAAACTGTCAAAATTGAAAGTCATTACCGACGGGATTGTGCAATAATTATAATATTAATTATTATTATTTGCTGCATTATTAATCACATTATTATTGCGTCGGGCCGTCGCAGTAATGACTCTCAATTTTGTGTTTAATCCTCGTTTTGCAACTAAATGTGCGCGCTTTTATATACGAGACTCGTCGTGAAACACCGCAGAGGACCCAATAAACATCAATTAACAGTGTTATTAATGTTACTAAATCAGTGTCATGCATTTTCCATTCAATAATGTAAGTGCAACATAACATATGACGTATGTAACAATTACATCGCTGAAAGTGGGAAATTTTAACATTGATGTAATGTTAGTGTTGGTCAGTATTTACTGAGAATTTTTTTCGCTCTTTCACCTATTGTATCTTCATCGACTGTATGTTATTCATATGTATGTTATTCATCGATCGCGGCTCTCTTTCTCGCTTTCTCACTCTCTGCGAAATTAATAACGCTCTTCTCAGCGATATTATTTGAAGAATTTAGATTGTTGGATTGTGTACACGGACGTTTTGATCTTGAAACGCATAATCGGTTGCAAATATAATCGTGAGAGGATGAGGCGATTGCACGGGCATACACACGCACACACACACACGACACATTCGCTGTATCGAAACATCTGGAGTCTATATATGGTGGTACACTATTTAATAGAATACTTTTATTCAAACACGAGTGTTAACGAAAAGGATACCGCTGTTAATAGATTAGTCGCACGTGACGGCGTAGTCACGCATGAAGCGAAACCACAAAACTCGGTAATCATATGTATAATCGTATCGTAACAATCTTATATAGATCATATACAACAAATTCTTCGTACCTGCGATGAAATCTAACGTAGTGCTCGGGAAATGTCTATGAACTGTATCGCTATCGCCTCTTCTGCATCGTACATCGCTTGATCTTGTTTTCTTTTTTTTCCCCTACGAAGTAACGGAGAGCGTCTCTGGTGCAGATAAAACGCGCGAGATGAGAGACGTGCTATTTACTTCTTCTTGTTTGTATGCATATGCATGTGTGTATATGTATTGTGTTGTATGTCTGTGTGTGTGTGTGTGTGTTGTGCGTGTGTGAATATACATATATATTTCAAATTTACATGTTACAATATATTCCGTTTTACAAAGACGCGACATAGATCAGGTTCGAGTTTGAGTAAACTTTGTAATTAATAAGGGCGTATAATATACACGTAAAATATTTAATATGCGCAAGGAAAAAGATGGAATCTGAGCTTACACGATTTATCTAAGAATCGTTCTTTCGCTGTATGAGTCGCTGAATCCTTCCCGCTCTCTTTCTCTCTCTCTCTCTCTCTCTCTCTCTCTCTCTCTCCCCCTCCCTTTCTTCGCACGCCCGAACGTTAGAGGAATGTTAGAACTTGTAAAAATAATACTATCGGGATTTCTAGAGTGTCAACCGTGTTTGTCACCGAATCAGAAACTCGTACAGCGACGACGGAAGTTCACACCGATTATAAAGTACACACAGTCGATCGAGAAACGTTTTCAGCTAGATTTCCCCCGCGCTACTACTTTAGAACCGCGTCTCACACGCGCCTCTACTTACAATGTAACAATGTGTGGAACAGTATTCTGATATATTACAGCCACGCGCGCGAGACACACATACGGAATTCGGTTTGTAGTTCGCTATAGAAAGATTTACCAAAGGACCGTAGCGAGGTGTGTAAAAAAACTCTCGGAGCTAGAGATAGGAAGCCAGTAAAAGATCTTGAAGTCGTATTAACGCTATTGCCTCTAGTTCTAAGGCACAGTTATATGTAAATATTTCTCTACACCTGTGTGACATAAGTATTACACGTGCTCGACGGTACTCTGTAATTGTGACCAGCCGCGGTCGGCTCACGTAGCCGGTGAACTCCGGCCGAAGCGACCGGTCAGTCGCTCTCACCGGCTCCACCTCGGAATCGACAATAATACCATGTCCATGTGAAAGATCATGCCAACGAGTTAGTTACGGACGAAACAGAGTTCGGTCAGGCGTAAGGATGCGAAATTCAAAACCCCTCGCCATGTGATATCCGAGACATATCTTTATTCGTTACCTTTTGTAAGACAAACATAAAGAAATAAAAAGTACACTGAAGCGTCAGACGTAAATTCAATGCATTAACGGCCTTTTCTTTCCTCATTTAATAATATATCAACGCTGGCGTTTATGCGACCAGCACAACCGATTTGTGTTGGATCATCAACCACTACTCTTCGGCCAGCCACCGCCTCTAACAACCCTCTTTCCCCCCTCCCCCGACTATGTGTGATGTCGCACGTTATTAACCACTCACACACGCACACACACAGAAATGGACATAGTATGTATACATACCGGCGTTAAGAGCGAGATACGCACGCGAGCAGCGACTAATGATTCCGTATAATAATGTATTTGTAAGTGTGTCGGCGTTACAACACTTCGCTCACAATATAGCTCGATACACTTGCAAGTACACGCACAATGTATATATACTTTCTCTCACAGCAAATGTATAATGTAACCTACGTGTAACTACATTTACAAATGCGTTCGAATCATTACTCGCTATCGCGAATGCGCCTCATCGTCTCAGCACATCGCTGTGCACGACAGTAAAGCGCGACGAGCAACACTCGGCGCGGTTGCACCGGAGAGTGCTGCGAATCGAGCGTACGTAAGCAACGATGTGCTCACGTCCGGTGCACTAGATCCGCGCGTCGGACGCTAATCCCGCTTTCCAATCGTACAGCGTTGTTACAACGTTCGGATAATATGCGGAGGAAGATGCTATTCAATGTGTGAGATACAATAGCACCCTGACTCGTACGTGTGTGATCTTTCGCGCCAATAACCGCGCGAGATTGACTCCAAAAATGGATGGTGGTGTACAGGTTCGAAAGAATCTTAATCTGCGATACAATCAGTGCGATAGAACATTCTCCCAGTAATGAGTTATGCCTTTCGAGAATAGGCGCGAGCTACAGTTTGTAATCGAAAATCGTAAGCAGGAACCATCGTGTGAGAAGCGCGAAAACAAAAGTGTGATTGTGCGAATGAACGCAAGTAGTAAAACGTAACGACCGAGCGACCACCTAGCACTTTCTAATCGAGTCTCTACCGGCGCCGCCGGACTTTTTTAAAACAGAAAATAAATGAGCAAATCTCTTTTTTCTTTTTTTGTTTTCTTTAAAATCAAGCCTCTTACCGAATCTTTTATAAGCACACACACCCGTAACGAGCAGCTCTATTAATGTAGACCACTACCGTTCGTGTTTATAGCATTTATTATGAACATTCGAGTAACGCAATATCTGGAGTCTGTGTCTGCGATCGAACGATGACATGTGACTGCAGAGAACAGGCTAAAAAAAACACGGGGGCGGTGGGGATACACTGAGGTATACAATAAGATGAAGGCTGTTCAGATTAGTTTTCCCAGCAAGTAGCCGACTATAACCATGGCGATGGCGATTAGGACACTAGTAGATGTTGGAGATAGCTGGCTATTGCTCTGCGAGGTTATACCTCTAGCTGATGCGAGGTTGCCGTCGTTGCCCAGTGCCGCATTTCGCCACTTCATTAAATCTTCCTGCAGACAAACATGCATCGCCGTGTTAACGAACTTGTTGCTAAACGATTCTTAACGATATGAAAATAATAATAATAGACTCCACTTCTATCTTGGAAAATTCTGGCAAAATTGAACACCAGTGATTTTAAATCTCCCAATCGGAATTTTTTAGAATATTTGGTGTGATCTCAATCATTACATGTTGAATGATCAAAATTAAATAATTTTTTCTTTGTGTAAATATATAACATTTCTGAAACATGTGATGTTTTAACATTTGCTTGTGTGATGTTTTAACATTTACCCTAAGTTGAAGATTTTCTTGTCTAAGAGTGCTTTCTTCTACCCTAAGCTGATTAACCTCTTGTGCAGCTTTTAACAATTTCTCCTCTGCTTCACCAAGTATCTGGGAAGAAAGCACACAGTTTGTAAACATCACAAGTAATCATTTCGCGTATTTCTAGTTCAATAGAGTTTACTACAATCTTACCTTCGGTGATGATTTGACTGAATCACCAACTGCCTTATTCTTCCCGTTAGTCGTGTTAGAATCTGCCTTGGTTGTTGTAGAGGTTGCAGTAGTTTTAGCCGTGGTGGTACTGGTCACGGGATTTTCAAAGACGCATTTAAGTTTGGAATCCATTAACTGATCTGGGTTTATGTCCTTCCACTTTAAAAAGAAATTTAATTTATTATGATGAGTAATAATGAGATTTATTATGATTTCAAAAGAAATTCAATTTATTATGATGAGAATAAACAAAGCTTATTGTTTCATTAAAGTTGCTGAAATCACTGCTAGAACAATTATATTTACTTAGTTTGAATAATATTGTTTATTGACAACAATATTAATTCTTAATACTAGCCATACTTACCACATCAATTGGATATTCATCATCATCATCATCTGGTGCTATTACAGTCTGCACCATAAATTTATGTTTATTTTTCTCCGCCGGATCAAAATCATATGGTTGTAAGCACACTGCAATCAAAACAATATACCATTTAATTTTAAGAAACACCTATGAATTTTTATAAATAATATCTTCTAAGATTCATATTAACAATCATCGCATAAAGTTTGTCTCATGTAAAATAAACATCTGAATTTAGAGTTAGATTTGAGTTTTCCAGTTGAATCGATAACGTCATTTTATATCATTAATTTCAAATCAATTGTGAAAAAAACTTATATCTAACTCTAAACTCAAATCTAACTATCTCACTATGAGACAATCTTTCAAGTCACTATTAATACAAGTTTAAGACTCGTATTAAGAGTTATCACAAAGACATCATAAGAGTTATCACAAGAGTTATAAAATGTGTTTAAAATAAAGATACTCTAATTGAAATTCAGAGTTAGATGAGAGTGTTTCAGTTAAATGGTAATTATAGATACATAAATATTACATACATCATAATTCAATTGAAAAATATGGATTTAATTCTAAATAAAGTGCTGAATATACTACATGAATCAAATGACACAACCATTAACACGAGTCTTAAAAAGTGTATTTTCAACAAAATGCAAACATGAAACATATTATGATATATTATGATGGACATATTACATGGCACATGACTGACCTGCTATTTCAGTGACATCCTTTGGCTTGAGCGCTCCAGAATTTGGACGTACACAATATCTCTTTGGGGCAGTTGTCTTTATTTTAAAATATACTTTGTGAATCGTTGGATTGATTAGTTTTATATAAGACGTGACAGGACCTCCAGTAAATGGACCTGTAACAAAATAAAGATGATGAAATAACCGAGTATAAAATAAGATAAATACGCCGTCAAACACACTTATGCACATACAAGAATCTCAAAGTAAAGAGCTTTTTTTCTGCAGCTTATTACCATATGTTCTTACAAAAAGATCATAAAAATTAAAGAGGCCATTATGAATGCTAAAGAGCAAATGTCCTTTATGCAAAGAATCCAAAGAACACGTGAATCAACACTTCTATAATCAATGACGATACTGCTTTATTTCATGAGCTAACCCTGATAAAAGCGGCTATGAGCAATCATCATTGTGCTCCGACCGGCGAAGCGTCAATAGTCAATTCAGCAAATCATCTTGCTTTCAAGTGCGATACAGTATCAAATCTGAGTTTACTGTCCCGAGATTCGATCAATTTCCATCTATTGAAAAAAGTTCCGACAACTGTTATCACATTGCGTCAGTTATCGCACGGATTCTACTTAAGTCACGGAATAACGAATTAATGAGATATTGCTGAATCAACTGCAACGAAGATAGATCGGCCGTCTGCAAATGCAATTCGTAGTAAACGAGTTGCGAGTAAACGTTTCTTACAAAGCCACACACGTATTTACATATGAAACAAATTCAATTCATTCGTTCATGAGGAAATCTAACATCCATGTGTGAGAGAGAAATGTGAGAGAGAGAGAGAGGGAGGAAGGGAGAGAGAGAGAGAGAGAGAGAGAGAGAGAGAGAAAAAGAAATAATCAATTCGAGGGCAGGTCGGTCGGAATTGGCGATTAAACGTGTTTTCGGCTCCAAGTGTGTTTTGATTCCGATAACGTCGAGCGCACCGATCGCGCGCGCGCGCGCAATGTTGCATAAAGTGCACGCACACATGCGCAAGCACAGACGACTATTTTTATTTAGGCGTCTTGTCACACGTGCGCGTGACAAGATGGTCACAGTCGAAGGACATCACAGCCACTTGGTCCTAGGCACATTCATTGAGTGACACTAGTTTGCGCGATAATCATGCTCGGGAGAAAAGAGTTAGAAGAGGTGTGCGATAAACAGACGCGACTGTGTGTGCAACATTTGCACTTCGAACGGAGCTCATTATCCGCACGCATTGTGGCGTATAAAATTCGCGCATGTAAGCGTCTGTCGCTGCCGTCGACGTCGTCGTCATCGACGCTTCGCTCTACGCGTTTTCGAGGAAAAAACATATGACCTCGATGAATAATGTACGGGTGGGCGGACAGGAGGGCGAATTAACGTCCTGCGGGGCTACCAATTAATATCGCAATTAATTGAGGGGTCTCTCCTCGGGAAACCGTTCGACCGGTGTTATAAGAATCATGATCTATTGCCGGCTTGTGTCCTATGACGAAGCATAAATTTCTAACGAGGTTCTTATAGATTAGATGACCGTATATAGCGCGAGAGAGACTGACAGAGAAAGCGAGAGAAAGAGGAAAGACAGACAGAGAGAGGGAGGGAGGGAGGGAGGGAGGGAGGGAGGGAGAGAGAGAGAGAGAGAGAGAGAGAGAGAGAGAGAGAGAGAGAGAACAAAGTGGAGCAGCGGTGTAAATTCAAGGAAGCCGCAACAGATGCGTTTTCGTCGACGACTACTGACGTTCGCGGAAAACAAACCCATCGACGCCAATCGATCGACGACAGCCGCACGTTTCTACGTTTTTCGAAATGATCGCGCATCGACTGACAATTTCGCCGATCGCTCTCTCTCTCTCTTTCCCTTCGACGATTACCTATTCCGTCGTGGGAGGGAAGTCGCGCAAAACGCCGACGCGAGAACGAACAGAGGGCGCGATCTAACGACTCGCGATTCTCGGCGATTTGCGTTCGTATGCTCGCGTAACAAAGCGAAATCCCGTCGACACGCCACGGCGAGTTCGGGCAGAATCGAAGATCGTTGGCTTCGCTCTCTCTCTCTCTCTTTCTCTCTCACACTCACTCATTCACTCACTCACTCACTCTTTCTTTCTTTCTATCTCTCTCGTATGGACTCGCCGTTCGTTCTCGCTCGCTCCTTCCTTATCTCGATCTCTACTCCGCTATCACTCTCTCCTACTTTGACAGCGCATTGACGTACGAGCAGATAGGGTTAGGTATGAGTTAGCGACATTGCACGGTGCCAAGATAGCGTGCGGCACCGTGAGAGCTCGAAGCTAGTCGCGACACGGTGTGCAGGTTGTCACCGAGTCGCGCCGTACTGAGCCAAAGGCGAGGAAGCAGCGCGCGAGCGTGCCAACGAGCGTACATACGGCCGGACGAATCGACCTTACGTCATCTTGACACACGCAGCGCGGAAACAGCTCCGTGTGCAAGCTCGTCGAAAGCGAACGTGTCGCGAGCGGTGTACGTGAAGCGCGTTCGTTTCCACTCTCTACGCTCGCGACGTTTATGTTTGAGACGCACGACGCGGAAAAAACAGCTCGTCGCCTCGTTCTCTCTGTCCCTCTCTCACTCCCTCTAGCTCGCTCGCTCGCTCTTTTTCTCTCACTCTCTCACTCTTTCTACCTATCTATGTATCTAGCTCTCGTAGTGTCTCAGCGTACCCCTGAATCGCAGCTCGCCTTGCGGCTCGATAATTAAAACTTGCTCGGGCTTCGCCATTCTGGCTGGCAGGCCAAAAGCGACTTCTCGACGAACAATTCACGGCGCCGTTCGTGTCTTCCTTCCTTCCTGCCGCCTCCGCCGCCGCCTCCTCCTTCTCTTCTTCTTCTACCTCGCGTCCGCTGAAGCGCACCAACGGTCGACGCCGCGTCGGGCGGCCGTGTATTGACAAGCTCGTCCCGGTAGATCGTTCGCGACTCCCCGCTCGGCTACGTCGGCCGTGTCTTCTCGTTTCGTGCCGTGCCGTATCTTCCCCGAGATTCCGTTGGACTGATTCTGATTCGCAGCCCTCGCCGAATACGCATGCGTCACGGCGGAAATTAACAGAGGCGCAGAGGCCGCGTTACGTCACGGCTCGTCGCCGCTCGGTAATGGTGCATTTACACTGCACCCCGTTGTGTGAGTGACGCGACACGATGTGGCAGCGGGAGAATTTGTTTTGCGGACACTCCAGCTGGCCGTGTGTCGCCGCGAGGACAATGATTTTTTTGTGATGAATGTCGAATTATCTTGCATTGAATATGGCACGTTGCCCAAATCCTAATGACTTGTCTGTCTTGCCGTATTTGCACCTTCTGCACTTCGTGTCCCCTCTGTTTCTCTTTGTAAATAAGCTAAAAAAAGAGATAGGCGACGTTGAAACAAAAAATTCATGGATCATAATTTTTATCAGTTATTGTTGAAAAAACACGGAAAGTAGTTAATTGACGCCCAATTTCTTCATAACTATAAAACATTACATGATATGTTAATAAAAATGTAATGATGCATTTTCAATCTTTCAACAATGAAATAATTATTCTTGTGAAAATAAACGAAGTTTAATGGACTGTAATGTAGGAAGAAATTATTATAAAGTGGTTTCAGAAACATTTTACAGCTTGTAGTTTCTGATTTATAGATGTAATTTCTAATAGGAAATCTATTCATTTTTATAGTGCTATATGAATATAAATCCAAATTCATCGTATCTCGTAACTCAAAGTTTTTGTAATATTTTGGCAAAAAGCATTCGTAAAAATATAAGATTAATATAAAAACCTATTGAAAACGTCAAGTTATAAAATATTTTTTAAGTTGCTGTAATAGCGTCATTTTTGGTAAAGTTACAGTCTGTTCAATTTAGTCTTTCAGGATCGAGTAAGAAGACGTCTGATCCATCGTGGAGTTGTACTACTTAACAAGTGAAAGTACAACCAAAAAGAAGCATGAGAGCGGCCATCAACCTGATTTCAATGGCTAGAGCTAGGTGCATTTTCGAGACGCCATCTAACAAAGTGCGCCATCTAACAAAGTGCGCCTTTACGTTCGTTAGGCGTATTTTCACGATGGTAAAGGTTCGTTTACAATAGAAGTCGTAGAGTCGTAAAGAGTCGTAAATCGTAGAAATTGACCAATCACGGTTGATTATTCTTTTCGAGCTCAACTATGATTGGTCAATTTCTACAACTTACGACTTTTTACTCTACGACTCTACGACTTCTATTGTAGACGAACCTTAAAGGCCAAATCACACTAGCAATTGGCGATTGATGATTAACGATTGAAGATTGGAACTTGACCAATTGAAACAAAGCAAGCCAAGGTTTGGCCTTTAAAGGCCAAATCACACTAGCGATTGGCGATTGACGATTGACAATTAAATATTAGATTTTAACGAATCAATAAACTTCAGCCTTGGCTTGCTTTGTTCCAATTGGTCAACTTCCAATCTTCAATCGTCAATCATTAATCGCCATTCGCTAGTGCGATTTGGCCTTAAGGGTATGGTTCCATGGCACAGAGTTTTCGCGTAAGACTGGAGTCCCATGACATGTATTTTCCGCGCATCTATAGATTTTCAGTACTGGCAGTGAATTTCGGAACACAGCCAAAGTTTCTATCACTGGTGCTATATAGGAAGTTTGTGTGTGTGTGGGTAGTTTCGGATAGCGGTAGCACTGCCTTTGATTGATTAAAAAGGACAAAAGCTCCAGGTCAAAATTCTAAAAGAAGAATAATAATTAATGTTCGTTGTTAGAATATACGTGTATAGACGTATATTTTTTTAATAATTAACATTAATGTCAATATTTTAGAGTAAGATTAGGTTAGGTTAGATTTTTAGCGGGGTGGAGGCTTTGCAGATATTTGTATTTAATTTTTTATTATAAAACCAGTTATTTTTAAATATTTCTAAACCATATTTCATATAAATTTCGTACCCTTTTACGAAACTGCGTATACTTTATATGCTCGTGTGCTGTGTACATATTGTACATTTTCTAATCTCCAAACTGTCACTTTTTAGCACTTTATAATTTTTGTTTTATTTAAGAGCGACAATTTTAACTTTCATATTCGTGTTTTGCGCAATAAAATATATAATATTCTGAGATTTCAGGTAAATCAGTGAGGAAGATCGTCTGCTTAACAATTACCTAATATCTATTTTTATAGGAGCAACATCTTATCTCCTACTATCTATAGATAAAGCTGGACAGATAGCAGAATGAAAGAAACTTTCTCGATTGAATTACAAAATGATTCCTACAACACCCATTTTGCAGTCAATAAATAACTGTGTGTTATCAGTTTAATAAAGTAGATGTTATCTTCAATTAATATAACTGTCAATCTTTGTAATTAATTCAGAACATAAAAGATATGAGAATTTATATTTGTAGAAGATGATAATGCATGATTGAGAAATAATTTAAATTTTAAACAGGTCTTTTATTGCTGTTTAAAAAATTTTATATATATTATAGAATTTATAAATATAATAGTTATAAGACAGTAGTATAACTGATAATTTAGATTAATATTAATATTTTGTTATTTATTAATGTCTATTGTAATATATCTTTTGTCATATTTTCTTAATTCTTTAAATTGTGACAGAGAGTCATATTCAAAATACTAAAGAATAAATTGGCACAGAAATGTTTCTTACCAAAATAATATTTTTTTAAGGAAGAAATCTTCTCTACAATTATTCAACAGTAGACAATGGACAGTGTGGAACAAACAATGGAAGAAACTTCGTCCACATGGCTAAGATGGTCTTGGACAACCTTATAAGTCTTGTAAGGACAAGTCTTAGAAATCTTGTAATCTAGCAGTCTTTCAACGTTGACAGTCTAACAAAGTAATGAACAAGCTTAATTAATATTTTAATTACAATTTTAATTATTAGTTAAGACTAGGAAAAATTAATGATAATTTGAGTACATATTAATGTATGTTTAAAAAATTCAATTTTGATTTACTGATATTGTTGTTTTAAAAATAGTGTGATTACACAGTATTTGTAAACAAATAGTATAACAGAGTCTCGATTAAAATTAACATTTTATTGAGAATTAATATATATTTTCCAAGTATTTTTTATCATTTTTTTAAATTTTCTCATATTTTATTTTCATATTTGTTAATGTTGTAATATATAAATTTTATTATTATTGTTATATTATTAGTATTATGCACAAAGTGTATATCAGTTTATTATTATTAGTATTGTTAAAGTTTAAATCATATATTCAGAGCACTGGGAGAAATATCCCCAATTTCAAAACAATAAAAGTATATTATACTAAGATATCATATTATTTTTAACTTCACATATTATGTGTAAGGCTAAGAAATGTGGAAGCATTTGTAATTAAGACATATGTGCTCTTGGTAATAAGACATATTGCATTGTATCAAATCATTTAATAAAATAATTATATTAGAATATAAAATGTAAGAATGATATATATTCCAGACAGCATAAAATTTCTAGAAGATGTTCTGAGGATGTTCTCAGGACATAGAGACATTCTCAGAAAGTCTTGAGGATATCCTGTGGAGATTTATGCTGTTAGGAATAAGTCTGATAAAATGTTACCTTACATTTAATTGTGATTTGATTTAAAACTGTAATTATTATATTATATTGTATTATGTATTATTTAAAAATATATATTTTATTTTATATATACTAGAGATATTTTTTATATCATTGTGTAATACATATTACTTTAAATATTGTATTATAAATATTATTTTATATTGTATATATTAAATTAGATTAAGATATAATCCAGGCAATATATATAGAAGTTATTAATTGAAGGTGACATTTATTTTATTGGACTTAAGGCACTTACTGTTATTTGCTTACTATGAGGTGGACATTGCCTAAGTTGTTAAGTCTCTTGGTTTGCTCAATGAAGGTTTTTTTCATTCCGCTACTTATTCATGAATGAACAATAGTTAATGAGAGTTGTTCTTGTCAACATACATGTTATTTTGGTAAGGGTCTGTACTGTGCTAATTTATTCTTTGAAATCTTGGAAATTATATGATTCTTTTGTAATTTAGAAAAAATTAAGAAGACAATAAAAGAGATAATTGCTATAGACATTAATTTACAATAAAACATTAATTTTAACGTTTCATGAAAATGGAGACCTTCTGCATAAAAAGATCAAGTAAAACCATTTTCTCTCATTATTCTTTCTGATTTCGTTGAATTTAATTTAGAATTCTAAATATTACTCATTAAAGTTCATGCTACAGGAACAACTTTCAATATATTTTATCAATTAATATTTAGGATGCCATAACAAATTCAATGAAACGTCGGATATAGGGTACATATTTTTACAGTTTTATTAGCACAAAATTGCTTGGCGGAACACATTACTCTACGGAAATATACTTTAATGTAATAAATTGGAAAATCATTTTACTCATATTTAAATGTTGTGTGTGTGTGTTTAACTCGTGTAACTACGTATTATGTATGTGTGCTCAGTTACGGCCAAAAGTTGAACCTGTACGCTGGTAGATGGCGACAGATGGTTCGTTAGGCGTCAAATGAATTTTTAATAATGAACATTTCGAAAATCAAGGCAGATTCAACGAAATCCTCGAATTTGCGTGAAATATTTTTCAACCTAGATTTATCGCAACCCGGGGCGGAACAATCGTTCTTGCTTACACAATTTAAATACGTCAGATACAATTTTCTTAAGATAGAGCTATTGAGGTCACGTGATCATGCGCGCCAGTTACGTTTCGTTCGCGGCAGTTACGTTTCATTCGTGACTGTTGCGAAGTCAGCATCGTGTCGCGGACGCTCCGCATTTGTCGTCCCTTTTCGCTGGTTAAGAGAGGATCTCGTACGCAAACGGGTGTCGGAAGTGTCAAGATGAACGACGGACGATCGTTCAGTGCAAAAATTAGTGTGCTGGAGCACGGTTGAGAGCGATATCGCGATATCTGGAGCTGATGTCCGTTGCGCGGCGGTGGCTGTTTGATGCCGTGCGAGCGACGTCCCGACATCTTCGAGAATAGTGAAGTGAGTAGCTACGTTTCTTTTATTTGTCGAGGTAAAACGCCTCGAGATTCGGGCGGATTGTTGTCGGGTTGAACGCAATATGTCTTGACATCGGTCTCATGTATGCGAGATTACACGAGAATCTTACAAGACACGACTAAAGCATCGCTGGAGATATTGAGATATTGTATGTGATCATTCGGCGTCGTGTCGTGGGTGCTTCGCGTTGGTCGCCTCTTTCCACCAGTCGAAAGAGGACCATTTCGGGCGTGAACGAGTGTCGGCAGACACCGCCGAATAACGATCGTTTCGTACAAAAGTCCACAAAAGAGAGTTCAGGATAAAGGCCTGTATCTAGCGATTCTCGGAACCGGCGTCTCTTGTGTGTCATTGCCTACGCGATATTACGCGAACTGTGTAGCCGTATTTCTGAGAAAAGTGGAAGGAGTCATTCGTTTCTGCTTGTCAAAGAGAGTGTATGCCTCGCGATTTGGTGGATTAGGTATATCTCTCGATTACCATACATGTCGCGTACGAGAATCAGGTAGAGTGAATATAGCACCGGTTGCGATATTGAGATACTTGTATCACGTGATTATGCGCGGCAGTTCGCATCGTTCGCCATTGAGAATTGGCGCCTCCTCGTAACACCGCTCCGTGTTCGTCGCGTCTTTTTGGCGGTCCGAAACAGATTTTGTGTGTCGTCAAGAGTCGAGAGCGCTGAATTGAGTGACGGACGATTGTTTCAGTGTGGAAATCGGTCCGTTCAAGCGCGCGCTTGGAAACAATGTCTTATAATCGGAGCTGGCGTTCGTTGCGCGGCATTGTTTACGTGATTATACACAAATAGTGCTTCCATGTTTTCGAGAGAAGTGTAGGTGAGTACATTCGTTTTTCCTCGTCAAAGAGAGTGTAGAAATCGGTCCGCGCGAGTGCGATTGAAGACGATGATGTTCCACGATGTTGAATCGGCATCTTTCGCGTTTCGGGAGTGATATGAGCGGAACGTAAGGCTAAGATCCATTCATGTTACATTTTTTGCGCTTCGCGTGCGAGTGTACAATGCACTACATGGGGACTGTTTGGCCATTTTAGTTAGTTGGGCAAATTGTGATACTTTTGACCTGTATTGCGGAAATTAATAATCATTGCTTGAAACTTGCCCTACGTAAGATATTCAGACCTGAATTGGATGAGTATTTTTTTTAATTATATGATATGATATGTAACATTTCCACTTGCAATCGCGATTCAGCTGAAAAATTCACGTCTAAATTAAAATTTGAGTGTCTCATCTGAGGTAAACAGCGTAAATAAAGCAGAATATTGCAAACTATATTAAAATATTAAAAAAAGTAATTGAAATACAAAAATAAGAATAATTAGAATATAAAAAAAAGTTTTCAAATTTAAATTGTGAGACAGTTACCAAACAAATATATATGGTAATTGTCTCACAATTTAAATTTGAGGAATTTTTTTTATATTCTAATTATTCTTATTTTTGTATTTGTTACTTTTTTTAATATTTTAATATAGTTTGCAATATTCTGCTTGATTTACGTTGTCTATATGAAAAAAGACTACGTATACATTATGTAAACAATCTGCATAGACATAAGGTAAAAATACAATTCCCTAATTCTGAATATTCTTATTATTTTGGAATCTTTAAATACAAATATTTAAACTTTCAACGTATAAAAAAAATACACACACACACACAAGATGAGTAACCTAACGATTTTAAAATAACTGTTGTTTTTTATATTAGGAGAAAATATGTAAAAAAAGGAATAAATTATGTGACTGGAAAGAGATTGGTCAACCATTTCTCCCAACCACGCAATTTATTCCCCAGTAAACACAAAGTATCATGCATATTATAATGTCAGCTCAATCATATTATGTAACTGTTACTTTGTTATATAACAAAGTAACAGTTATGTAATATACCATATGATTGAGCTGACATTGTAACATTGATGATATTTTGTGTTTACTGGGTCCTTTTATGTATTTTCTTTTAATATAAAAATCAAAAAAGATATTTTAATGTTAGGTGACTCACTCTGTATACAAATCTTGAACATATATTCTATGTTAGAAACTTAAATACTTGCATTTAACAATCAAAACAATAAGAATGTCCAGGGTTAGATACGCGTCCGGGAATTGGTAGTTATTTAAGGTTGTTATTACGTAGTTTCAAGGTTATGTACGCAAATTGTTTATATATTTTCTGCATGATATAGAATGTTTGGCGTTATGTGTCTCGTGCCTCGTGTGTATATATGTATATTAGATTAAACTGAACAAATATTTCTTTTACCATTTTGCAACCACGTAAAATTTTATGTTGTTAACTAAAAAACATTGGCTGATGCTCGCGTGCAATAATGCACCAATATTCTTTAATTAATGAGAAAATCTACGTGGTTATTTGCAAGATGGTAGAGAATGTCTTGTTCATTTTGACATAACGATAAGCATCGCTGTTACCCGCCGATATGGGTCTCGTCGGCACTCACCGCCTTCGAGTTCGCCCGCGAGATGGCGGGCAGACGGGCGTCGTGTAGATGCTGCCACCTCGCAGACGACGGTACGTCACGAAAGCGTGACGCGGGCCAGCGTGCGTGGAAGTTTCGAAAACGGGGCCCCTCGAGAGATTCGAATGCGCGTCGAGGCTCGAGGTAAGTGGCCGCCGCGCTGGGCCGCGCCGTGCGGATTGTAACGCGAGAGAGTTAACCTGAAAATGGCCGAAACGTGCGACTCGTTGGTGTCAAGTGCGGTGACCGGTGCCGCGTCCTCCCACGGACAGTCGACACTTCCGGAATCGGTGGCCCAGGGGGACGAGGAGGCCGTGTCCGGCCGTCCCGGTACGTAGCCCCCCGAAAAGCAGCGTGCAGCGCGCGCTCCAGTTCGTAACCCGTTTTATTCAAATGCGCGAGTGCCGAGCGCGGCCATGCAACAAGTGGCACGGAGCGCTCTTGCATGCCGGACAGGCACGTGCCGCGACGCCCTGGCACCCCGCTGCTCTCGTGAGCCGTGGCTCCCTGCTGGGCATGAGCCTGTGTATTGTAGGTTAGAAACGCGGTCGTTTTTGTCCCTCGTCTGGCTTTACGTTCGTTCGAGCGTGCCTTTAACACCGCGACGGATACATCGCAAACAAGATCGCGATGATATTTCATGCACTTCGCGAATGTGTCGATTGCTGATCGACGGCTACTTCAAACTGCTCGCTCAGCGACGTATCGTTTGTTCGATGTGACCAGTGATTATGCATGAATATGACTCGTATGCTTGGAATTTTTGTACATTAGGCTAGAATTTTGAAATATCGTTGCTCAACAAAGACGCAGTGACTTGATTGTTGTTGAATCGATATCCTCAAGTAGGCGTAAATAGAGTATGGCAATTTTTGTCGTGATCTTTGTTTGACAATTTGATATGTGGGTAATATCGTGACATTAAAACGACAGATTGTTATGTTTATCTATGATATTACGATCTTTATAAATGCCACGGGACTGTTGTTATTTTTTGACACTTTATTGCGCCCCGTTTTCGAGCGAATACTGCGATCAGCTGTCGAGTGTTACCACTCTGATAGAAAGATCATTGCTAAGCAGGTGATTGAGAAACATTTATCTG